AAAGATGATAATATTTTTGTGAGCATTCAAAAAATATCAAATACCTAAAATAAGCCTAAGTGAGATCTCTACACTGAAAACTACATAACATTATTAAGGTAAATCAAAGAAAATCTAAATAAGTGGAGGGATATACAGTGTTCAAGGATTGAAAACTTCAATACTGTTAAGATGTCAGTTCTCCCCAATTGATGTATAGATCAATAGAGAGAGAGAAAGAGAGAGAGATTCAATGTAATTTTATTCAAAATTCCAGCAGTGTGTGTTTGTGTGCATGTGTGTGTGTAAACTGACAACTTGATTCTAAAATTTTTGTGGAAATACGAAGAGTCAATCCTACTCTGAAGAACAAAACTGGAGAATGTAGTACACCAGATATCAATACCTATTATACAAACACTAGTGTAATGTTGGCATAAGGACAGAAAAATGGGCCAATGGAACAGACTAGAATCCAAAAATAAATTCACTCATGTGGTCACCTGACTTACAATAAAGGTGACACTGCAATGCAATGGGTAAGAGATGATCTTTTTAGTAAGTGGTGCTGGGTCAATTAAATACTAATATGAGAAAAAATGAATTTTGATCTCTGCTTCACATCCCATACATGAAAATCAATTCCAGATGGACCATAAGGCCTAAATGTGAAAGTTAAAACAATAATGATCCTAGAAGAATATATAGAATACTTTTATGACCTCAGGGTTGGCAAAGATTTCTGAAACAATAAAAGTTTCAGAGCTTCCATAGAGGAAGAAAAGGATAAACTGGGCCAAATTAAAATATATTTTTAAAAAGACATCATCAGAGTGAAAAGACAGTCCACAGAATGGGAAATAATATTGGCTATTTATATATCCAATAAAAGATTTATGTCTAGAATACATAAAGAACTCCAGCAAATCAATATGAAAATGGCATCCAATAAGATTTTTAAATTGGCAACAGATTTGAATAGACATTTTATTAAATAAGATATTGAAATGGCCAATAATATATAAAAGAGTGCTCATTAATTGTCAAGAAAATGCAATTTAAATTCACAACGCAGTATCACCAGAATAGCTAAAAGGAAAAAGACATACAACACCATCAATAACAAGGATTTGAGTAATATTAAAAAGTATTTGGTTCAAATTCCAGTTCTGCCAATTGCTAGTTGTATGACTTTGAGAAAGTTACTTGATCTTCCTGGGTCTCAGTTTCAACATCTGTAAAATGGTGATAATAATCGTAAATATCTCATATTGTTGTTGTTATAATTGAATAAGATGATTCACATTAAGTGCGTAACAGTTCAGCCCAGCTTGTGTCAGCTATTTCTATGCCATTTAATCCTTATGATATCCGATAAGTTAAGCTTATTATATCAATATTTTTCAGATAAGGAAATTAAGGCCTATGGATATAAATCACATTCCACAGTTATTAAAAGTTAAAAGGGAGAGTGGAATACATTTCTATCACAGCTCCAAAATGCTTGCCTTCAGTTACTAGGATAACACTTACCAATTCCACTTTGGGCAGATATGTAAAGAGTATTTACCACTTGCCAGTCAACATATTGCTTGATTCAGTGTCAAGCTTCTCTTAGAGCTGCTAATCTGTATGTTTATTATTCAGACTCCTTACCTACGTTTTGAGCTTTAATTCATACTTTTCTTGCCTGGATTCCAAACCCTACCATCCTAATCATTATATCCTTGCAGATCTTAAAATATGCTGCCTGATTTCTTGATATCTCTATTTGTATGATTCTTGGTGTTATGTTTGCTTGCTCCTTTTCCGTCTTCCTAGTTATGACTCAGCTTCTCCTCATTTAGGTCACCGTTCAAATGTCACCTTGATCACTGTACTATCATCCTCATTTATTTTCTTCAGTACTTATCACAATCTGAAAATTTCATTTATTGTCTTCCCCTTTCCCCCAGCAAGAATATAAGCTCCATGAAAGCAGAAACCTGTATTTATTTCTATTTTGTTTTGCTGCTTTACCTTCAGAACCCAGAATAGTAGCCATTCAAACATTAAGTGAGTGAATTAACTTTGTGTCCTGACCTTAAAATTCATGTGCACTCTAAACCAAACTTTTTAATGGTTCTAATCTTCAACATATCCCTCCAAAATTTGACACAATTTAGGTAATTCACTCACCTTCCTTGTTCTTAGAGGTTACTACAACTGAGCTCCTGCTCTAATGATATAGGAGGTGCTCAGTTTCCCTGGGCTCAGGTTTCAGGACATGCCTCTGTGTTTTCAGCCACTCCCTGAGGTCTCAGGCCCCCTGCTCTGGGCTCTTCCCTGAAGGAAAGTTACTGTTGCCAGTTAGACCTATTTTCAGCACCAGCGGGAAAAGATGAGACAAGGGACTGGCTTATGCAAATCCAGTGGCTGGGCATGCTCAGTATTTTTGAATATGCCTGGTGCATATGGTAAGGTCTCACAGATGAACATGCTCCAGGAAGAGACTGAGCATGTACAAGATGAAATGTTACATGACTGGGAACCACCCCTTTAATTGGACATTCGGTAGATAGAGAAACTATAAAAGCTGAATTCCCAGCTGAAAGCAGGGTTTGTTGCTCACTTTCCTGGAGGCAACCTGCACTTTGCTGGCTAAGGTGCATATACTTTATTTTGTATCAAACTTACTTTCAGCGAGCAGCTGCTCATTCTCTGGAGCCAGCCTGCACTTTGTACTGAACTTTAAGTATGTGTTTCTTGCTTTTGTGTTAGACTTGATGTCTGTACTGAACTTACTTTTGTGTTAAATTTGGTGTGGGCCCTGCTCAGTCTCTGGAGCTATGCTATACTCTCTCTGTGGAACTTGTATTTCTTATCTGTTATATTAAACCTATTCTCGCATTCTACTGTGACTCTGCCCTTGAATTCTATAGTGTGGCTGAGTCAAGAACCTGGTAATGTTATGGAAAGATCTCAAACTCAGCGAGGAGACAATCCCAGTCACTCAGAGAGGTAGAGAGTCAGAGAGTTTATTACGCTAGCAGGACCCAGGTGAACTCACGTTCCAAAGCCTGGGACCCTGAGTACAGGGAAGGTTGTGATTGTATACTTTTCTTGAACAGGCATACAAGCTTTTTATTGGCCCTGCCTGAATCCAGGCAGAGTTACAGAAACTAGGGTCTTATTCAAGCAACTTTACAGAAGCAGGAAGTGTGGTTAGGTGAGTTCTGTAAGTTTTAATTTCTAAACATATATCTAGGGCAAGCAGTTTCTCCACATTCAGGTGGCTTATGTAACCAAGCAGGCAACATGGTTACAGAAGCCAAAGATGCAAACTGTTTAACTGCTAAACCAACTCTCAGGGGTCCTCTGCAAACAAGCACATTCCAGCTGTAAGGTTACATAAACAAAGAGCTTTAGCTAAAAATCTACCTTTCGGTGGCCTCAATAGTAAGAGGACTGGGTGGGTTGAGGCTGACTATCAGGCCCACCAGACCGTACCTCAGACATCACTAACAGCTGATGACCAAGTAGTCATTCTAATGGTAAGGTAGTAATTTTGACAATCACTTTAATTAAAATGGAATTACATTTTTAAAAGACTTAGATCTAATTTTTAACAGTTTTAAAAATAAATATTTTCTGCTTTAATAAAGTCATAAATTCAGTTATAATTCCATATGGGCTTTTACACAGTAATATCTTACTTCATTAAATTGAGACAATATCAAGGTCAAGGGTTCAGATTCCCATACGGGCCAGCCACCAAAGAAAATTTTTTTTGAAGCAATAGCTGTAAAGCACCTAGCATATGGTAGATACTCAAATGTTAATGTTCCTTTCCACTCCTTTTTCATTAAGACATTTCATTATTAAAATTGCTTGCCTTTTTAAAAAGTATAGTAACTTTAAAAAAAATGTCTATAGTATACCATGGGGTATGGTAATATACTAAAACTTAAAACTTGAAATTTAAAATTTTGTCCTCAACAGTTAACTCCCGAATTGAAAGATATTTTTAAGACAAAAGGTACTCTCCCTACACTCAAAACCTGCAAAGATCACAAAGAAGGTAGAGATAACAGATATTTTAAAATAAAAGTTCCCAGACGTAATTTGTCTTTTTTTTTTTTTTTGTCTTTTGTCTTTTTCCGTGTCCGGCAACGGATCGCAACCCTCAGTGTTGCCCCTGTACCGGACCGGGGACCGGCAATGGGATTGCAACCCTCGGTGTTGCTCCCGCGCCTTGCTCAGCCAGTGAGCGGGAACTGGTCTGTATGTGGGATCCGAACCCTCGGGCGGGAGCGCCGCTGCGCTTCCCAAGCGGCGCACTATCCAGTGCGCCACCGGGCCGGCCCCCTGTCTAGTCCTTGGACCGTAATAACTTCGTATAGCATACATTATACGAAGTTATACGAATCCGAACCCTCGGACGGGAGCGCCGCCGCGCTTCCCAAGCGGCGCACTATCCAGTGCGCCACCGGGCCGGCCCGTAATTTGTCTTTTGATGTGCTTCTAGTTCATTCTCATTCAAAATAAAACTTTACAGATATGTTTAAATGCTGGAATAGACGACGTAAAAATATGGCATGTACCAGTAACTTATAGATGCAAGTATTAATGTAGTTGGTCAGAGTTTAGGTTTTCCTGGAGTCTGTTATGCAGGAGTGTGACTGAAAATAGAGTAAATGAACGGTGGAAATTATTTCAAACATACTAGCTCAGTGCATAAAATAAAGAACTGAATATTCCGATATATGCATTTAAGATATGGCCCAACATTATGAACTATTGAGAAGGGTTACATTTCTGTATGGTAATGGTTTTTAAAACTTATGCACATGGCTTTGGTTAATAACTTTAAAAATGAATATTTGGAGCTGATTTTTGCCTATAAAGACATCTGACTTGACTATGATAAACTTGATGATTAAAAAGTCATCAAAACATTAATCCAATTTAAACATGTTTGTTTTCATTATGGATTTATAGTCCTGTTTTTTCTTTCAAGTTATTTTTCTTTTAAATCTTAGCATGCACAGCACAGAATCAAAAAATGAACATTTGGAGGAAAAAAACTTCCAAACATCTACAACTCCTCAGGTAAAAGCTTAACACTCTATTGTAACATATCATCTAAAAATTAATCTGATCTTCAAATTTATTTCTAAAGTTTACCAATTAGTTAGGTTTCTTTTGTATGCTGGTTAAAAAATGAAAAGTGGACTGTTTGAAATATCTGGTTTTAATGGATCTTGGAAAACGAGCAGAAAGAATGGAACAGATGGAAAGGTGCGACTATAAGGTATTTGGACCTAGAGAGGGAAGATTTGGGGAGTAAGGAGAAATGTGGCTTATTATTTCTTGCCATGCCCAGGAAAAACTCATTAATTTAAGCTAATAGAGGTAAAGATAAGTCTAATTTAATTAAAATGTTGTGCTATGTATTTTTAAGAGACCCAAGTTTAATTTTCATAAGCATGTAGAGTAAGTCATTAGACCTTTTGTTGGTCTAGTTTTACTAAATAGTAATTGCTCATAATTAGAATTATAAATTGCTTTTTTTTTTTTTTTTTTAAAGATGACCAGTAAGGGGATCTTAACCCTTGACTTGGTGTTGTCAGCATCACGCTCACCCAGCGAGCAACTGGCCATCCCTATATGGGATCCGAACCCGTGGCCCTGGTGTTATCAGCACCACACTCTCCCGAGTGAGCCACGGGCCAGCCCTAAATTGCTTATTTTTTAAAATAGCAATTTCTATCATTCTTAAGGGTCATAAAGTTATTTTTTAAAATATTGTAAGTATTCACCATTGATTCTAATCACTATCTGTGAAGAATTTATACTAGTCCAAGTCAATTTATTATAAATTCTGAAATAATAAAACTTAAAATGATATGGTTTTACTGTATATGACCTTTCACCCACCCTAATAAAAATTCGCCATTTTGTCTTTAGCCCTTTTATACAGTGACTGGATTTCCAGAAAAAGTTTCTACATCGGAACTCCAACATGTTAATCATAATCAGGTTTGAAGAACTTTGATCTTAAAGAGCTACATAATTCATTTTTAGCCATCAGCTGCTGTGGATCTGTGTTTCCCTAGTTATTAAATGTTAACTCTCTCCTTTCTCAATCTGTCCATGCACTCCAGCTTTTGTTACTATTTTCTGTAGCGATGGGATGTTTTCTCTACCACTGCACTCAAAATGTTGTCAACACACTCAAAGTGCTGGCGTGTATGTTTGTGTGCATGTGGAGGATAAAACCTTCCAAACACACATACACATGCACACGTACTCACATACACATAATGACCATAAGGCAAATATGGCAATCTCTATTCCACAGCTAACTCTACTCGGGTTTTTTTGTTGTTGTTTCGGTTTCTTTTTTGCATTGAGAGAAGCTTCTCAGTCTTCTCACAAACCAAAATTCCTTTTTTCTAAATCAGCAGTTTTATAATTAGACTAACTACCTGAAAAGAAAATTGAGGTATACCCACTAACTAACTAAATATGTTATCTATAAATATTAGTGGAAACATGCTTGAATTTCTGAAGGCTTGACCTATGTTATTCTTATTTTTCTTTCAGTTATATAATTTTTCAAATGAGAGGAACCCAAGTAAAATTATATTACACCTCCTTTCTAATTTAGTCATGTTTTCATTCCATGAAAATTTTGGTTAATAAACTGAAGTAGACTAAGGATGGACACTCTTAATTATTATGCCCACACTGTAGGCTCACTTATTCAGTGTTCATAAATTGTAAATGAAAATGGTGGGGACTGAAGGATATAAAAGGTTAGATCAAGGTGTCTTGCAAAATGCACTATTGTGATATCCTCAAATACCTATTGATATAAAATATGATTCTTTTGTATGTGTAATTCAAGTCCCTATGTTGACAGTAATAATATAACTTTAATTATGAAATTAAAATTAAATTAAGGTGGTTTAGTACATTCATAATATTGTATGTAAAGTATAGTTCTCAAAAGATTTCCTTGTTTTACTTCAGATCCTCAATGATCCTAATAGTAATGCATGTGAAGAAACTAAAGAAACTGTCCTATCAGAAACAGAGGAAACAAAACCACAGACGAAAAAGATGATACATATTTCTTGTCCTCCAGAGGGAATATTGAATAGAATTATTACAAATGGTATGTGAATAAGTAATGTAAATGGAAAGAAAATGAGAAATACAGTTGATTAATATTAAAACAGGAGACAACAAAGCCATTGTTTATATATTCCAGATCAGATGATCAGCTCTGTTACAAGCAGTATATGGACAAAGAGGAAATATTTCCTTGAATCATTCAAAAAAAAAAAAGAAAATATTGCTTAAGAGTGCTATATTTTAATCTTTTCATGCCTCTTTATGTTAAATTTTGGAGATTAGAAGCAGCGTTGATTAAAGATTTTTATTTAAAACCTACTTTTGACATTTAGTTTTAAGTTAGCTAGAAAGAACATTATACCCCTGACAGTAATAAGGGTCTTATTAAAATTAGGCCCCAATTTTAAAACAGCTGCAACCCTGAGTTGTATAAAATTTGCTTTTGCACTAACATTTAAAGAGTCTCATTGTCGCCAAATATTTATAAAGAGGTTTTCTTGTTTTCTTTATAAATATTCTGTATGATTAACCTTGAGAGGTTTTGACCTCCTATAGAGAACAAAAATTAGATTAAAATATGATGGAGAAGTAATTGAAGTTTTAAATGTTTACTTTCTTATTCACTGCTTGCTAACTTTAAACTTCTGAAAGCAAATTCTATTCATTGGTATTTCATTAGGAAAGGTTGCTTTTTAGTTAATGTCAGTATTTTGATGGCTCTGAAACAAGCTTTTCTCTGAACTTGAACGATCCTCATCTGCCAGTGTAAGTTCTTGGACGCCTTTGTAAACATACTTTCTGTGCATATGTCTTACGTGCATGTTCCTATAACTCCGTCTATTTAGTGCACAATTTCCTTAGACTAGTTGTTAGGAGTAGGGCCAGGGCCTGTAGAAGAGAGGTAAATGTATTGGTCACCAAAGATTATCCACTGAGGTTACACTGCAGTTTGCTCAAGAACTAATTGAGGTTATTCTATTTTTTAAACCACATTTTATAATTTATTAATGCCTTTGAGAGTGAAACTGCATAAAATATATCCTAACTTGCATTTCATTTTTACCATTCTTTTAAGCACAGAATTTGTTTTATGTCAACAAGAGTAGAAGCACACCCATAGACGAACCTATAGTAGCACTCACTAAAATAGAATATGCCCCAGTCAGAACCCTGTTTTTTATCATAAACAAAGTGATAGTTCCAATTTTTTTGAATTTGTTGAGACTTGATTTATGACCTAACATGTGATTTATCCTGGAGACTGAGCCATGTGCTGATGAGAAGAATGAATATTATGATGTTGTTGGATGGAATGTTCTGTAGATATCTGCCAAGTCCAATTGGTCTAGAGTGTTGTTTAGATCTTGTGTTTCTCTGCTGATTCTTTGCCTAGATGATCTGTCCAATATTGATAGTGGGGTGTTCATGTCCCCTGCTGTTATGGTATTAGTGTCTATTTACTTCTTTAGGTCTGATAGAGTTTGCTTTATCAATCTGGCTGCTCTGACATTGGGTGCATATATATTTATGATTGTTATGTCTTCTTGATGGATCAATCCTTTTATCATTATGTAGTGTCCCTCATTGTCTCTTTTTATGGTTTTTAGTTTAAAGTCTATTTTATCAGATATAAGAATAGCTACTGCAGCTCGTTTTTCATTTTGTTTGCATGGTAAATCTTTTTCCATCCTTTCACTCTTAGTCTATGTGAGTCTTGATAGGTGAGGTGGGTCTCTTGAAGGCAGCATATAGTTGGGTTCTCCTTTTTAATCATCAGCCAGTCTGTGTCTTTTGATTGGGGAATTTAATCCTTTTACATTGAGTTGTTATTGAAAAGTGTTGATTTACTCCTAGCATTTTGTTTGGATGTCTAAAGTGTCTTTTGTTCCTTTCTTTCTGATTTACTGTTTATCTTCTGTATTTGTTGATGTCTTGGGTTGTAGATCAACTTATTTTTTTTCTCTTCATTGTTGCCATTTTTATTTTACTAGTGGGTTTTGATTTTTCTTGAGTTTTTATGGCAGTGGTAGTTATTTTTCAGGTACCAAACCCAGTACTCTACCCTGCAAGGGCAAATAGTATATTTCTCAGACAAACAAAAACTGCGGGAGTTCACCACCACACAACCACCCTTACAAATGGGATTATATCAAACTAAAAAGCTTCTGGACAGTGAAAGAAACAATCAACAGAGTGAAAAGACAACCAACAGAGTGGGAGAAAATATTTGCAAAATATACATGTGACAAAGGATTAATATCCAGAATATACAACCCACATTGTATATTGACCAAATAAAATAAAATTTGTTTAAAAAAGTGATAGAAATGGTTGAAAACACTTAGTTTCCCGTACTTGGTACTATGTATTTTTTAAGATACTTACAAAATATTTATGTGCTGTGTTTGATGGACCATATCAAGGAGTGCTTAATGGAAATCAACTTTTACTCTAAAGCATAGGTTGTTGCTCTTAAATCTGCTGGACTGAAGCAGACAAATATATATAAAATTTTAATTTTTTTGAAATTTTTTCTTTTTTTTTAATTTTTCCGTTTTGTTTTTGTTTTGTATTGTATCATCTTTCAAGAACTTAACTAAAAATCCTGGAAACATCATAATTGTAGGCTACTTTTAGCTTTCAATAAACACATTTGAGAATTTAAAAATTTTTATTTCTGCTCATTATGGCAAAGAGGAAAAATGACATAAATATGTTTCACATCACTGCTAAATTACCAGATTCATGCAAAAGGAAAAATAGGAGTGCTCTTTATTTTCTTGATAAGTTAGCTAATAATGGTTTGTTGATTTTGTTTATTCTTTCAGTGAACCAGCATTTCATTTCATTAATCTATTGCATTATGTTTAGTCTCAATTTTTTTAAAATTTTTGCTCTCATTTTTATTATTTCTTTTCTTCTGTTTATTTTTGGTTTGGTTTATTTTTACTTTTCCAGTTCCTTGAAGTGCATCTTTAGGTTGTTTATTTGAAATCTTTCTATGCTTTTAAGGTAGACTTTAATGGCTATAAAATTCCATCTTAATAATGCTTTTGCTGTATTGTGTAAGTTTTGATATGTTGTGTTTCTATCTTCATTTGTTTAAAGAAATTTCTTAATTTTCTTCTTAATATCTTCATTAACCTGTTGGTTGTTCAAGAGCATGTTTAATTACCAAGTATTTGTGTAGTTTCCAAAGTTCCTCTTTTTGATTTCTAATTTGATTTCATTGTGGTATGAAAAGATACTTGATGTGATTTAAATTTTTTAAAACTTGTTAAGACTTGTTTTATGGCCTAACATACATGGTCAATCCTGAAGAATGTTTCATGTGCTGATGAAAAGAATGCAGCTGCTGGATAAAATGTTCTATAAGTGTCTGTTAGGTCCATTTGGCCTATAGTGCTGTTTAAACCCAATGTTTCTCTGTCAATTTAATGTCTGGATGATCTGTCCAGTGCTGAGAATGGGGGTGTTGAAATCTCCATCTATTGTTGTGTTGGTGTCTATCTTTCCCTTTAAATCTTATGATATTTGCCTTATATATCTGGGTGCTCCAGCATCAGGTACATATATATTTATAATCGTTATATCCTCTTGCAGAAATGAACCCTTTATCATCATATAATGTCCTTCTTTGTCTCTTTTTAGAGGTTTTGATTAAAGTCTGTTTTATCTGATATAAGTATGGCTATTCCTGCTTGCTTTTAGTTTTCTTTTATATGGAATCTCTTTTTTTATCCCTTCACTTTTAGTCTATTAAGTCTATTTCTGTCCTATAGATGAAGCAGGCAGCATATATTTGTTTTGCTTTGCTTTTTAATTTATTCAGCCAGTATATGGCTTTTAATGGGGGCATTTAATTCATTTACATTCAAGGTTATTACTGATAGGTGAGGTCTTAGTCCTATCATTTTGTTGATTGTCTTCTAATTGTCTTGAATACCTTTCGTTCCTTTCTTCTTCTCTTATTGTTTATCTTCATGGCTGTGGAGGTGTTTTCCTGATCTCCTGGTGCTCTCTAGCATATTTCCTCTGGCACTCCCATAGAGATATGCTTGTTTATTCATTATTTAAAACCTTTTTGTGGGGCAGACAAGCTCCAAGTGACTCTATTTGGCCATCTCACCCCATTCTAAATTCAAGTGAGGAATTAATTTTAGAACACCAATATTGAACTTTAAACATAGATCTCTAATTCATTTCTCCTTTGTTATGTTTCATTGATTTATAGTTTTATAGGCATTTATAGGAAAATGGCTTTTTCATAGATTCCATGTTTCTATTTTGGGGGTGAATATTTTTGTACTGTCCTCTTCAAAATCAATCTCTCTCTCTCTCTCTCTCTCTCTCTTCTCTCACACATGCACCCTTTATGTTCACACTGGCTCCTTTGTACACGAGGTATGGAATCCCACTCTCTGGGTGTGCTTAGAAGATGGCATTGTTAGGAGTCCCATTCTGCCAGATCATGGAATAAGTGATATACAGGTGTGTATATAATTGAACATGTAGAATCAAACATGTGGTATTAAATAATCAAGGAAATCCTTTAAACAGCATATGCTATGGATAATAAAAGGAAGTAGAACTGTAGTTTTCTACAAATAATAGTTAATTCACCAATCCCACAATGTATGCAAGTTAATTTAAATAAGAAATCTAAACTCAACTGCACACAGAAATTATTCTCATTACATTTAGTCACACTGTTTATATACCTTATTTGGGGAGTGGCTTTTCCAGTCCCAAAGAAATAGATTTCTATGGCAGTAGGTTTAGATTTTAAGCTATTATTCCTTTTTTGTTTCTTCATAGCTTACTTTCAATAAAAGTACTAACATATTTTCATGAAGTTGTCTTTCCTTTTAAGTAAATGAAATAAAAGCTTTGTTATCATCCAACTATGATTTTCAAATAATCTTGGGGCCAGAATTTCTACATTAAAAACTTATCATTAGTTTTATGAAGTCAGCAGTCTTGGAAGTTTAGGGTTCAAAAATAATATCCCAAAGACTTCTGGTTTTCCAGTTCCACATG